GTTTCGATCCTGCATTTTTTGAAATTTTAAAGACTCACTTTTCTGAGAAATCAGAGTTGCAGCTAGATGGCATATTACTAGTAGACGAAATGTCAACTAGAAAAAATTTGCAATTAGATAAAAAAACAATGATGTTTAAAGGAGTCGAAGATTTTGGGGACCATCAGACGAAAAATGTTGAGACAGAGTTAGCTGATCATGGATTAGTGCTAATCTTTCAGCCACTCTATGACAGCTATTCTCAACCTGTAGCAGTTTTTGCCTCTAAAGGTCCCACTTCTGGTGAAAAATTGGCTAAAATATTGATTCAAGCCATATCGCTTCTAGAATCAGCAGGGGCAAAAATTCACGGAGTAGTTGCAGATGGAGGTACTCCAAATAGAAAAGCCTGGTCTTTAATGGGATGCAGTGGCAAAATGGATTCATCTTTCAAAAACTGGTTTGAGAATCCTATAAATCCAGATCGTAAAGTTTTTTTCTTTTCCGATGCGCCGCATTTAATGAAGACCATTCGTAATCGTTTGTTGAATTCGAAAAAACTAAGGGCAAGTATATGTTTATTTAAAAAGAATAAATATATTATGTTTTACATTAATTTTAGGTCAACCCAAATGAACCAATGGTGGAATGGGACCATTATATTATTTTACACGAAGTGGACAACAGTTTACACCATGGAATAAAATTATGCCCAAAAATTAGTAAAAAGCATGTACACATTGGAAAACATGATAGTTTGGCCAAAATGCGTGTATCTTTAGCATTACAGGTGCGTATTTTTACTAATAAAAATAAATAACAAATACGTTATAAATAAATTAATATAATTAAATAAATTAAAAAAATATATATGTATATAAATAAATAACAATAAAATATAAATAAAATATAAATATATAAATAAATAACAATAAAATATAAATAAGTTAATAAATAAAATAAAATATAAATAAATTAATAAATAAAATAAATTATAAATAAATAAAATATAAATATATAAATAAATAACAATAAAATATAAATAAGTTAATAAATAAAATATAAATAAATTAATAAATAAAATAAATTATAAATAAATAAAATATAAATATATAAATAAATAACAATAAAATATAAATAAGTTAATAAATAAAATATAAATAAATTAATAAATAAAATAAATTATAAATAAATAAAATATAAGTAGATTAATAAATACATAAAATAAAAAAAATTTCATTGTTTTGTATACTTATTTAATAGATTTTCAGTGCATCTGCAGCACGTGGATTGCGTTTTTACAAAGCTTATGAGGTGCGTCTTAACACGTGTGAATCTACGGCAAAGTTCAGTGAGACATTAAATGACATGTTTGATGCACTGAATCGAACTTCAGCAGAAACTGCTCTTCGACGTGATTGCAAAGATATTAAGGTTTTTAAAAATAATTCCCGCAAAAAATTATTATTTTATTTGATAACAAATTACGTACTATTTCTAGGTTTTGGAAAATAGCCTGAAATGGCTGAACGAATGGGAACAGGCTGTAAAAGATAATTTAATTCAGGAAACAGAATTCCTTACTAATCCTACGGCTCAGGGTCTTCGTATGACATTGCAGTCTACTTTAGATTTAGTTGATTATTTTCTAAATACAAGGAAAGTTGAAATGGTCTTCACTGGGAGAATAAATCAAGATTCTCTAGAGGTTGGTCAAACAAAATATCAATTTCTAGAAAATTTATTTCATATTACTTCCCATTTAAAATATTTTTCATTTACTCAAAACTAAATTTCTAAATTAGTTTTAGAATAATCGTAATATTTTATTTAGAACTGTTGGATCGTCTGGTTCGTATAAAAGTAATTTTTGTTATAAGTTTGTGTATAAATGGTGGAAATAGTTTAAAGATTTTCTGTGTTTGTCTGGAATTTTAGAAGTTGATTGCTTTCAGTGTATGTAGAAATATAAACAGTAGTATATTTTATATAGTGTGTTTATTCGCTTTTTATAGATAGTTACAAATAAAATAAATATTTAATAATTTTTTATTACTGTTTGTTTATATTCAGAGGTTTTTTGGAACAGTTCGTTTGGCAGGAGGAACCAACGACCATCCTGGTACCCCGACTTTCCTACAAATATATAAAATCTTGTCTTTCTACAGCATTCTAAAACCACCCAAAACAGGAAATTGTTCTCTACCTGAAACGTCGAACAAACCTTTAATGAAAATGTCAGAATTGAAAGAAATTTTTAAAAATAATAACAATCGTACAAGACAAGATTTTATTAAAGAAATCAAAGAGAAACTGAACATTGTTATTCAAAAAGAAGATTCTGACTTTTCTGACTTCGTCAACACAACTGACCATGATTATGATTTACCGTATGTTGTTGACTGTCTAATGTATTTCGTCGCTGGAAACGTAGCGAAAAAATTTTGGGATTTTCACAAATGTGAATTGTGCAGATCTGAATTTATATTTTCAAACGAAAATAATAATTCTGCAATTTTGAATAATTCGATTTCTCAGCTGCTGCAATTTGAAGAAAATTACGAAATCACTCACCCTAATCTTCGATTATTTAAATTTTTGTCAGCGATTGAGGAATCTTTTCTGAAGAACTGCAAAGAGAACAATGTTTATTATTCAATTATTGATGAAATTTCTGGAAAAGAGTTTGAATTTCCTTGTGTGGAGCACGCTGAAAATATTTTAGCATACACCCTCCACCTTTATTTAGAATTAAGAATGCGTAAATTTGCCCACACGCAGTTGTGCAATCAAAAGCAGTTGTCAGCTCAACAGAAAAAATTATCGAAATTGCAATCTACTTAAATCTTTCTCTGAAATTCAAATTCATTGTATGCAATTATAATTCTATGTACCTAAAATTTTATATGACATATACCAAAAATAATCTTATTTTTATTACAAATAAATTATTATTGCTAATATTATTAATTAAAAAATAAGTGTAATTAATTAATTAATTAATAAGTGTAATTCATTCATAAATTAATAAAAGATATAGCCCTTATTAATTCTCTTATAATTTGAATTTTCAGGAATATATATATATATATAAAGTGTATATAAATGTACATAAAATGTATATAAAGTAAAATTACGTATATTATGATTAATAAATATAATTTTACACTTCAACAAATTTTTTTACTTTTACTTTATTTCACTTTATTATAGTTATTCTCTTAAACGTTTTAAACTCGGGCCAAAGTACTGCCAGCGCCGCTCTGCGGACACTTTCATCATTTGTGTTACGTTTAATACAGTCGTGTCACCGAGGTGCATTACATTATTATAATGAATAACACTTTATTTTTGGTTATAGTTTCAAGTTTAAATTTGGCGCCATTATCTTTGGTTTTTAGACAGTGGCGCCGTTAAATTTCATGTTTCGTGTTGCATGGTTGGTATTTATTTCTGTCAATTCAGAAGTTTCCAACCTAAAAATAATTTATTTTGTTTTCTATAAATTCAATGAATCGTATTTAAGAAACAAAGTTTTTTCAAGTGTAATCTGTTTGTTCATTGAAAACAATGATTTTGATTAATGGTTTTATGATAAAGTGCTTCTTAATTGACTATAATTGTCATTTTAACTTGAACTCAAAATGAATCGGACCTAGCTCATTTTGATGCTTTTTGCCTCAAGTTCAAAATGAGTTTCTCGTGGTTCTTTTTTGTTGCAGTCGGTGGACCGACTCATTTTTAACTCAGTTTTTTTCTGTGTAAATGAATTTTCATTTTACATACTTTTTATTTCATCAAATTTGAATTTGACAGAATTATTATTTTAAAGAAAGAATATTTTAGATAAAAGATTCTTTTTGAGTCAAAATATGTTCGAATTTACATTTTACAGAATTCCTAAAAAGCCGCGAATTTAAAAATTTCCACCCAAATTTTTCTGCTACATATTTATTCGGACAAATGAAAATTTTGTAAAATAAAAATTTTTAATATTTTGAAAATTCTGTCAAATGTAAATTTGAACCTCCATGAAGTAGGCGTCGACGCTCAGCGCTGAAAATTGTTTTTCGCACAGGACCAAAAGTATCAAATTATTTTTTTTTAAGATTTTTAATCCAAATAATGCCTTGAGAAATACTTTTCCAAGATATTATGTGGTCACAAAATCTTTTTAAAAATCATTTGATATTTTTGGTCCCGTGAAAAATAAATTTCGACGCTGAGCGTCAACGCCAACTTCATAGAGGGTAAATGTGATCAGATGAAAATTCGGTTAAAAAATTCTGTCAAAAATTCAAATTTAATGAAATATAAAAATTATGTAGGTATTTTAAATGCAATTTTTAGAATTACAAGAGATTTTGGGATTGTAATGCATTAAAATTAATTTACATTTTTTTTGCACTGTCCAATATAAAAGCATATTCACTTTTTAGGTTGTGTTCCACTATTATTGAGAACATGAAATCAGAAATGTAAAAGCGGTTTGCCAACGTATAAATAGAAAAAAATATTGTTATATAAATTGTAAAAATATAAATCTAATATGACAAACTACTTATCCAACTGCACTTTACAGAAATACAAATTTCATAATTTATCACTAAAATCTTGTTACAAAAAGTTGTCCCGTTTAATATTATAAATTTCTATCTAACACATAACATAAATTACCTCTCAGTAAATTTTTTTTTCGATAAATAAAACAGTTGCTAATTCAAATGAAAAAATATGATAATTATCGATTTTTAAAATTAAGATCAGTCAGTCAATTTGTTATTTTTACACAAATGTGAATTAATGACTTATTGTTATATAAGAATAAAGCAAATAAAAATGTAAATTTAAAAACATTGTATAAAGAAGCGTTAAATAAATGTATATATATGTATATGACAGGTATATACATTCGCAAATGAAAGAACAGACAGGGACATCCCAGTAACTTAAACAGCAGTTTAAATAATAATATGATTCACAGAAAAAAAGTTTGAACTCAGATTAGAGATAACCACGGAACTCCCCTGTTATATATATATATATGTATATACATTTATAGCGTCTTGATTCTTTCAGCAAAGCAGACGAACGTTATTGCAATATATATTTGTACCTACATATATATGAATACATTTCTTTGTGTACGTTAACACGTGCGTGAATATCAGAGATAAAGAAAAAAACGTCTCTTATTAGCACATTCATTGATATAAAAGATGCAGTCTGATCTTGAATTGCATACAGTTCACCAGCGAACCTTTTGCTAAAAGCTTATTTTGTCAACAACAAACAACGCAAGTGGTAAATACAACTTCAATAATAATAATAATAATAATAATAATAATAAAAATAATAATAATAAATTTTCTGTACTTTAATTAATTGTTTCATATAATAAACAATATATTAAAAATTTTAGACTGCTTTTTTGGAATTCCAATTTTATAAATTATTAATTATGAAATTAAGGAACAATAGGATAGACAGCCAAATTGAGAATTAGTCAAAAACTATATTTCCTTATTTTTTTTAAGTTAAAAAGCAATTTATAGCGTCAGTCCACTGACTTTCGTCTAATAGTGGTTGCGACCAAATTTTAAAAAAATCTAGTCTTAATATATGTGAAACTCGATGATTCCCTGAGTTCATTAACCATAATATTATGGTAAAAATTTTATTCCCTTAAAAAATATTAAATATCAAAAGTAGGAGGTTCACAATGTGATTTTGTAACCTTAAATTTTTCAATTTTTTTAAAAACGCTATTATTAAAAAACTATTAAAAATTAGATGTTGGAACTCACCAAAAACATAAATCACTTTATTCTGCACAGAGGAACGAAAGAATTATTGCAAAAATTTATTATTTTTGGATGATATACGATTTTAAAAAAAAATTTTATTTAAATATTCTCAAGATTTTTATTTACTTATAACTTTTCTGTCGGTGCTCCGAAAAAATTGAAGTTTTGCACAAAGATTTTTTATAATATTCTTTACCTTCTATTAAAATCTTACGAAGGTGTTTTGCTTCGATTTGGAGATATTAATTTTCAATTTTTTATTTAAAAAGGTTAATTAAAAGACTTGAAGTTAACTAACCAAATTCAAACTGCTCCATTTTTTATAACAATATATTAAAATGTAGCGATTTGAAATTGGTCAGTTAACTTCAAGTCTTTTACTTAACCTTTTTAAATAAAAAATTTTGAAAATTAATATCTCCAAAACGAAGCAAAACACCTTCGTAAGATTTTAATAGAAGGTACACAGAAAATTAAAAGGTATTAAAATAAGCTGCAACGCTTCTTATTTTAATCCATTTTTACTTATTTTAATACCAAAATGGATTAAAATAAGAAAAATTTGATTAAAATAAGAAGCGTTGCAGCTTATTTTAATACCTTTTAGTTTTCTGTGTAAAGAATATTATAAAAAATCTTTGTGCAAAACCTCAATTTTTTCGGAGCACCGACAAAAAAGTTATAAGTAAATAAAAATCTTGAGAATATTTAAATAAAATTTTTTTTAAAATCGTATATCATCTAAAAATAATAAATTTTTGCAATAATTCTTTCGTTCCTCTGTGCAGAATAAAGTGATTTATGTTTTTGGTGAGTTCCAACATCTAATTTTTAATAGTTTTTTAATAATAGCGTTTTTAAAAAAATTGAAAAATTTAAGGTTACAAAATCACATTGTGAACCTCCTACTTTTGATATTTAATATTTTTAAAGGGAATAAAATTTTTACCATAATATTATGGTTAATGAACTCAGGGAATCATCGAGTTTCACATAATATATTAAAACTAGATTTTTTTAAAATTTGGTCGCAACCACTATTAGACGAAAGTCAATGGACTAACCCATAATTAAAAAATGTTAACAAAATTTTCTTTTACAGATAAAAAATTTCTATATTTTAACTTTTTCTAATAAAACTCAATTTCTAAACTTTATTTTCTGAAATTATGTTATTATACATATAAATATTATTATTATTATTATTATTATTGGATATAGTTCCGAATAGCACATACCTCCGATTTCAATAAAACTTAGTATCCCTACGTAATTTGGTGCGCTGATTACCAAAATCATAGTGAAAATTGGCGGAAATTTAATTATCATGGTAAAAACCATAAAAAACACCATAAAATCATGGTTTTTTTCGATTATCTCGTAAAAAACAAAAAACTTCGAAAAAAGTTTTAGACGAAAGTTGTAGATCTCTAAAAAACACACATTTCATGTTTTATGCATTTTTTACCAAAAGTCATTATTTTTCGAGAAAAACGCAAAATAGTAAACACGGCCTTCGGCCGCGTAAGGTACTGCTCGCTTCTCTTTTTAAGAAATCTTGGCGAGAGGGGGTGGATGTGTCCGAAAGTAATTTGCAGAAATTGTGGGGTGGAGTCTACAGCAGCGGTAAACGCAAAATAGTAAACACGGCCTTCGGCCGCGTAAGGTACTGCTCGCTTTTCTTTTTAAAAAAACCTTGGCGAGAGGGGGTGGATATGGCCGAAAGTATTTTGCGGAATTCGTTGGATCCTGAGTAATGGTGAATATGATAATTTCTGCAAATTACTTTCGGACACATCCACCCCCTCTCGCCAAGATTTCTTAAAAAGAGAAGCGAGCAGTACCTTACGCGGCCGAAGGCCGTGTTTACTATTTTGCGTTTTTCTCGAAAAATAATGACTTTTGGTAAAAAATGCATAAAACATGAAATGTGTGTTTTTTAGAGATCTACAACTTTCGTCTAAAACTTTTTTCGAATTTTTTTGTTTTTTACGAGATAATCGAAAAAAACCATGATTTTATGGTGTTTTTTATGGTTTTTACCATGATAATTAAATTTCCGCCAATTTTCACTATGATTTTCGTAATCAGCGCACCAAATTACGTAGGGATACCAAGTTTTATCGAAATCAGAGGTATGTGCTATTCGGAACTGCACCCTTATTATTACATAATTTTATAATTAAAATTTAATTTAAACATTTCTTTTAAATATAATATTCCTTTTGAAATTGATAAAATTGTTTTTTATTATTCGTAACATAAATAACTTCGCCGAAGTCTTATCAGTTGCTCTTTAATGTGCAAATTAAAATATTATCTTTACAAAAACAAATATGCAGGTAAAAATTCGTAGCCACCTTGAAAAATCAAAAAAATCCAACTTCTAAATTTCGCGTTACTATCATTTCTATACAACTCTTCCGAAATACCTTTTTTTATGATTTTAAGGGGAGGGACCGGTGAAATTTCAACTCATCGAAATTAATGTTGTTAAAAGGGGTGTCAATTTTTTTTTCTGGCATTATTTGGGATCTAAAACTATTGTGAATTATCAAAATTAAAAAAAGAAAATTGTTTAATCATTTTAGAAATTTTTCTTTTTTTGAAAATATTAAAAGTTTTAAATATCCATACAACTGATTGTTCAGAATTATAAAAAAAAAATGTATAATAAAATCAGCAATGAAAAATAATCAAATCTGCGACAGAAGTTTAAATTTTTAGTCTTTGAAAATTTCGAGTTTTAATTAAAAAATTATTAATGAATTGTTTTTCAATTTTACAATTTTAAATATTCAATATTAACAGAAAAAAAATTGATTTTAACCTAAACAATAATATTATAATAAGTGGAGAAACGCATTTAAAAAAAAAATAAAAAATTTTGATTTTATATTCTTTAATTAGGCAACATTTTAATAACTTTTCAAATGTTATTGTTATATATATAAATGCTCTCTTTTAACTAAAAATTTTTTTTTCTTATTTGTTCACAGACGAAAAAAAATTCAATACCGATAAAAAATGAAGAGTTTCATTGCAATTTTCATGCTATTTATTGCATTAATAGGAGCGATAGATGCCTTCAGACATCATCCACAAAGGCCACCACAGAATGGTCGTCCAAATTATCCTGGAACTCCGCCATTTAATCCCAAAGTTAAACCATTCCCATATTATGTGTAATGTCAATTATAACCGCACGAGACACGAGGAAGAAACGCCCATGTCATATTCCAAACGACAGACTACAAAATTCTATTAGAATTTCTATATTGGCATTTCCGAATAATGTCAACGATTCAAACAGTATATATATATATATTTATATATACATCCTAAAAACGATAAAATTTCAAGATCAATTTATTATTTATTTTCCATACCCATTTAATTCATATATACCAAACATGTAAAAAGAAAAATACAATAAAATATTTATTTATAAAAATGTGAAAAAGGGTAATTTCATTTCATATAACTTTATTACCACCAATTTTTAAAAACCAATAATTTTCCAACCTATCCCACGACATATAACTACTTTGCCCCCCTGCGCGCTTCGCGCGCCAACCCTCTATTTAAATTTACTAAAAATATTAAATATTATTTTGATTAAAATTTATATTTAATCAAAAATTTTGTAAATTTTAATAGCAGAAATTTATTTATATTTTAATATGAACATAAACTATATATTTTAACTTGCATCCGTAAACTAAATTTTCATCTATTCTACAATTGAAAAATTAATTAGGGACCGAATAAGTTTTTATATTGTTTTAAAAATTAATTTTACCCAATTTCTTTAAATAAAATTTATTATTTCATTTTAAAGAATTTGTTTCTAATATGCACCACGGATGACGTCCTTCTAACCTATGACCCTAATTTTGGGGTAATGTCCGATTTTTTCTATAACTATGACCAAATTTTGAGGTTATGTTCGCCTACACTCCTATGACCTTCAATGTAAATTTAAGGTTATGTTCTCCTTTGACCTTTGACCTTTAAAAGTTTAAAGGGAGGCTCATATCTTGACCTCTGGGAATAATAATTTTAAGGTTATGTTCGTCTCTACTCCATCAAAAACTTTGGTTTTTGACATATGTCCTTGATTTTTAAAGTTATGTTCGTTTTAATCTATGATTCCATCGTTTGACCTTGAGTATTGATGTTATGTTAATTTTTAACTTATGTTTTTGATATAGATATAGTACAATATCTGAAATTTTCGAGACAAATTCTGAACGGTACGCGAGTTTTAATGGTTCGCGAATTGAATAGTAGGCGAGTACTGTAAGCTCCCGCGTAGCGTCGAAATTCTCGCCTAGTGTTCATTTGAGACAAATTATGAATGGTACGTGAGTTGAATGGTAGGCGAGTACTGTGAGCTCCTGATTCGAATTTTTTTATTATATACTTTGCACATACACTAAAAAAAATTCTATTCTAAATTTAAGAATATCTTCTTGGCGCCTATTTAAGAATATTTCCCATGCATTTTATTCTTAAATTTAGAATATAATATTCTTAAAATAAGAAACATTTCTTAAATTAAATTTTTTTTTCCTTTGTCTGTAGAATACCTATTTCTTAATTTAAAAATTGTTTCTTATTTTAAGAATATTATATTCTGACTGTAAGAACAGCCATATTGGATCCACCATTTTGAATTTTTTAAAACTAAAGTAAAATTCGTATTCAGCAACCTCAAAAACCCCCGAGTAACAAGTTTCAGGAGAATTGAATGACTTAAAAAAAAAATCGCCGCCATATTGGATCCGCCATCTTAAATTTTGAATATGCTAAATAAAAATTCAATAATTTTTAATTTGACCTCACAAAAATTCAGACAAATCTAATGTGAAAAATATTCATACGTCCCAGCAAAAAGAAAAAAAATAATATAATAATATAGACGAAAGATTTACGATAACGGAAAATAAAATTATATTCAAAAAAAAAAAAAAAATGTTGATGTTGAAAATGTAAAATGATTATGATCGGCGTTAATGTTCGTGCTATATGAAACACCTGCCAAGAATTATGGAGAGTTGAGACCCTGAGAGGATGCTGCCAAGTCGGGTCAAGTTGGGTCAAGTGATCTTTACCACTTGAAACCGTTATCCGTACGGTGCAAAGATGCCAACCGCCATTGGGATACAACCCAAAATGTATTCATCCCTTACATTTCCCAGACACATTTTATATATATATTATAGTCGTCGATTTATAGAGTCTTGTAAAACCAAATGTTTCTTATAGAAGGAAAATTGCAATGAAATAATTTCCCTCTTCATTTTAATTACATATAATATTAACACCCAAAAAAAAGTTTCTTTGAATCAAAGAAATTTGTGCATTGTTACAGAGTCAGAGAAAAATTTCTTTGATTTAAAAAGTGAATTTAAAGAAACAATTTATTTGTTGCAAAGAATTTTTTTTTCTGGGTGTGGGTTTAACAGAAATGAACTCTACAACACCCGGAATGAAATTTATTTGGTTCAATCGGTTTCGTAAATCAAATATTTATATTTGGACCAACTAATGTTTATTTAAATCAAATAAACTGCATTCAAATCAATAATTTCTGTATTAAAAATAAAATTATTTATTTTAATATATTAACTGCGTTTAATATCGTATAATAATAAATTGCAATAAACCGTGATATTTGCTAAAAAAAATAAATTTAATTTAACGAAGAGTATAAATTTAACCACTTTATGGTAAAATTCTGACATTGTTGTCTCCTCATTGAGAATGTAAATAATGTTTTATATTTGTTCATTATGGGGACACAAAGTACGCTTATAACATGAAGACCATGAAAATATAGAGGCGGGTAATTATGAGGGGCTTATATTCCGATATACACACACGCGACCCGTCATATGCATTGGGGGTCAAAAATATATGAATAATATGGATCAAAGAGTTTTAGTCCTAATCATTTTCGTTTGGAGAGAAAAAAGAAGGGAAACTTATTGGAAAATGAATGAATCATTTATATGTATATACAAAAACCACTATTATGTTGGCAATAAGATTTACATTTTTTTTTTGTAATGAATAATAATCAATGAAAAGAAAATCTATATAGACGAGGAAATGATGATTTAGCTATATTAATTTTGATATTGATGATTTTATCATGTGATTTTAATATTAATCTTTGTTAGGGTCATTTGGAGTAAATAGAAACAGATTTGCTAATTTTCCCCAATAATATAAGTTTAATAGTAGTATTTATAATTGAGGAATTAAATTTTATAAATTTTATAACGACGTTTCGGCAGCTACCGCTACCCTTATCAAGTTACATTAAAATATTACTGGAAAAAATTTTTTAACATTATAAAAATTAATAAATATATAATTTGTCAATACGTATTTTCTAACATCAAAATGAAGCAGTTGAATATTGTACTTACATTTTAGTCATTTTATTTTGTAAATTTAAAAATTAGTTTGAGGTTATCTATTTTTAGGTTAACGATTGCTTTAATAACACTAATGAGGTATATCAGAGGTTTAGGTAGTGTTGATATTTCAGATTACGATATTATCATATTAATTTATATTCGTTCATGTAGTGTTGGTATTTCAGATTACTATATGTTCATGTCAATTTACATTATTTAAAAAACCTTGATAGATGTTACTTAATTTTTCTATGTCAGTTTTAAAGTTTATTGAATGTTTATCTTTAGCAATATAAACCATTTTAATGAATTTTCTTTTAAAATAATTTCCCTCAGTGTTCAGAATTGATATTTGATTAAAATCAAAATTATGATTATTTTCTGTGGCATGATGAGCTAATGCTGTATTTGATTTTTTATTTTTAATATCTCTATTATGTTCTGTAATTCTAGTTTTTAAGTGTCTAGATGATTCTCCAATATATACACTATTACAGTTTTGACAAGAGATTTTATAAATAGTGTTAATTTTTTGAGTTTTTTCTACTTTATCTTTAGTATTAGTAATATTAGTATTAGTAATATTGCAAATAAACTTCCTTTAGTTATGACTTTTGAAACATGAATCACATATTCAATATCTTTTTTGGCCTCATATTAATTTCTTTAGCTCAAGGATACAATAACAATTTGTCAAGAGAGGAAAATATTAATGCATTGGAATTCATATATAAAAGGCGCGTGTGTGCATATCTTTTATAAGGGGGATTTTATTTTTTTTTGCCAACTATAAAAGAGGGCGTATTGTTCAATATATGTTGTATTCGAAATATTGTAACTCGAGTTGGCATTGGATGCAAAGGGAAAGAGCAAGTTAACCTTCACGGTCAACTTCATAAAACTGCCAGAAGCACTCGGGTGACAAAGCCGAAAACCTTTCCATTTATGCTCTCATATATATGTATATACAGATATATGTATATATGTATTTATGTATGTACACACTCGAGGCAAAATTCTGCAACTCATGTCGGCTTGGCGCCAGAGTATCCTTCAATTAGAGGCCCTGCGGCCGTGTATGTTACTAAAGTAACATTACCCATCTTGTTCCTATTATCCTAATGTCGTAATAATTCATTTTTCGTTCTGATGTTAATGTTCGACCTTCAGTCAAAAAAGTTCATGTGTAATGGGTTCGAAACAGTTTCACTTTGAATAAAAATACACTACACTGAGAAAAATATGCTATTGAATCAATAGCATTTCTACCAAAGGTATAAAAATTATTGATTCAAAAGCATATGCTAAAGAATCTATAAAATATTTAACAAATTTTGTAGCATATGTTTTTGAATCAATAATTTTTATACCTTTGGCAGAAATGCTGTTGATTCAATAGCATATTTTTCTCAGTGTATATTACAGAAAATTAAAAGGCATTAAAATAAGCTGCAACGCTTCTTATTTTTATCCAATTTTGCTTATTTTAATCCATTTTGGTATTAAAATAAGCAAAATTAAATTAAAATAAGAAGCGTTGCAGCTTATTTTAATGCCTTTTAATTTTCTGTGATACTATACTTTATACAAAAATACATATTTGTAAATATTACAAATACAAATACCGCCAATTAAAAAGTAGGTTGTACGATAATAGACCTTGGTGTATCAGAAAAGCCCCGGTTGATGGTATTAAAATTTGTATTGTAAAAATAATATGAAAAAAATTACTTACATTTTTTGGAAATAAATTCAAAATTTCAGCTTACCTAAAACAAAAAGAAAAGAAATAATGTTATTATAAAAATTCTTTTTACTTGAAAATAATTCTTATACATAATTTATACTTTGCAATTATATAAAAAATTACACTCTATAATTCTTTGCAACAATTAAATGCAATTATAGATAAAAATGATGCCAATTATCACACTTCTATGCTTTTTAAACAGACCCTTGAATCATTTACAGAGTTTATGAGTCAGAAACGAATAAAAAACTAACCGGATTTAATATATAGGTAAGGTGATAA